CGTGGCCAGCAGGCTGGAGATAGCCCCGGCTGGTGGGCTTGACATAGAACCCGCCGGCGGGCTTGCCACATTAATGTACAGTGGGCTTGCCATATGCGTGGCCGGTGAGTTTGACTTGGCGCCGCTGGCAAGCTCTACATTGGTAGGGGTTGGTTCTGAGCGTCCGGCGGGCTTGTCTTCGGCGAGGCCAGCGGGCTGGAGATAGCCCCGGCTGACGGGCTTGACATCGGCCCGGTCAGCGGGCTGGAGAAAGCCCCGGCTGGCGGGCTTGACAACGGCGCGGCCGGCACGCTTCACAGTGCGGTCTTCATCACCGCGGATGACATACGGGGGAAAAAAGGAAAACAAAAGACTGTTCAAAAACGAAAATAAAACACGGGAGAAGGAGCGCCGCTTATTGTTTTGGTCAGTCGTTCTGTCACGTTTCACACACACGAGGAACACGGGAACGAAGGAGCGAGGAGACACGGCGTAAAGTAACTCACAAGGGTTTATTTGAACAAAGGCTTGGGATCACAGGACTCGACACATCAGGATGACAGGATGACGTTTAACGACTGACAAAGGACAAGAACTAGAACACACTTTAAATACACAGGAACTGATGAGGGGAAGACAAGGGACACCTGGAACTAATGACAATTAACATTGGAAACACCTGGGAACAATGAACTCAAAACACGAGACAGAGAAACTGGATGACGGAGCACATAGGGAGCAAAGACACACACAAAACCTGGCCCAGAGCCTGACAATAGAAGGTGCACACAAATAAAAAACACCATCATGGTAACGAACATGACACTAAATAATACAGTAAATGTTAACAACATAAAATGTAACATACTGCCCAAAGATACATAACTAAAAGGAAAAACAACAACAACAATTGTTTAAATGAAAAACCATAAAATGAGATGTGTCAAACAGGAAATTCTGGGAATGCCAATTTACTGTTTTTCACTGTAAAGTATAAAATGACTTGTTCTTATTTGCTTCTAAAAACTGTACAGTATTTTACTGTAAAATTACATTAGATGTATTACATTGTTTTTTATGGTATATAGTAGGGAAGCTTAATGTTAACCAATTAACAGTTTTTTTTTACCATGTAGTGCTGTCAAACGATTAATCGCGATTAATCGCATCCAAAATAAAAGTTTTTCTTTACATAATATATGCATGTCTACTGTGTATATTTATTATGTATATAAATACACACACATACAGTAAATATTTTGAAAATATTTACATGTATATATTTATATTCTTATATTTTATATTATATATAAATATATTGAACATATAAACATAACATATTTTTCTTAAATATATACATGCATGTGTTTGTATTTATATATACATAATAAATATACACATTATACACACATATATTATGTAAACAAAACTTTTTTTTTGGATGCGATTAATCGCGATTAACCGTTTGACGGCACTAGTTTTTAGAGTGGTTTACTGTTAAAATTATAAAAGCAGCCAAATAAGAACTGAAGAAAGCGGTGCCGTTGTTTTTGTCTATTATTCAGAATGAGATATCTCAGCTCTGGACAGACAGAAAGAAAAGCCATGGGAGAGAAGGAAATTCCACAGTTATCATTTACCTCAGAGGAGGTGGAAAATGGATCGGCCCTGAGAATGATGTCATCGGAGCGTGTCTGTGTGTATTATGTTCCTGATGTGGTTCCTGTTTTAGTGGAAAAAGGACTGTGAGAAAAGGAAAGAGAGAGTGGGGAGAGATTGAGAGAGTCAGTGAGGGAGAGGGGAAAATTAGAGGAAGGTTGTGTTTCATTTTGTTTTGTCCTGTCCACTCATGCACCTGCCTGGTCTCCAGTCTCCATGTGCCTGGATCATGTCATGGTGTGCTGATTAGAAACAACAATTACTCTGCTCACATAAACAAATGGACACACACCCAAACACATGATTTGGGTAGTCATTATGTCATTATGGGTAATACGCATATTTATTCCTCAGACCCATTAAGCACAAACCAGTGTTAATTTTGACAGCACATTTTGATTCAGTTTAAGTCATAGCCTTTTGACTAAAATGCCATTTAGTTTTACTCATCTGAATTGTTTTAGTTTTAGTCTGGTTTTAGTCAACTAAATATCAAAAGTTTTTAGTCAACTAATCTACAGTATATTTAGTCTACTAAAATCTAATGGGTTTAGTTACAGTATAATGCATTTATTAAGCATTTATCTCATCTTTCCGAACTTATTATATATTACATAATATATAACTTATTATATATTATTTTATTATATATCTTAAAATGAAATAAAACCACTTAAAATTAAGGAGATGATTTCTGACTGGATCTCTTCCCAAATCATCCCTCCCTGACATTTTCCTCTCATATTTATTCATTGTCAAAAGTGTCAATAGATTTTTGTCATATTAGATTATATATCCATTAATATTTTATATTAGATGTTTGTTTATTATAGCACTGACTATTAGTGATCGTAAATGGAAGCACCAACAGGTTTCTTCCCCAACCTCACCAGAATGAACTTTTCAGGTTTTGCACACATTCAAGTGACTACTTTGAATGACAGATTGCATTCTGGAAATTTTATGTTATCATTAAAGATGAACACATTGTAGCATTAACTGTCTCTCTCTTTTTTTCTGCAGTTTGTGGATGTGATTTGGCTCAGGGAGGCTTTTTTGTGCGTCAGGGTGAGTTTATCTGCACTCTGGATTATCAGCGGCTCTATGGCACCCGCTGCTTCAGTTGTGAAGAGTTCATTGAAGGGGAAGTTGTGTCCGCTCTGGGCAAGACATACCATCCGCGCTGCTTTGTCTGTGCCATCTGCAAGTAAGACACATTCAAACACACTAACATACATTCACTTTAACAGTTTTAGCTTTATGTTTTCAGTTGAACATTTTCATTTGGATAAGGTACAACAGCAGTAACCAAATTCAAAATGTTAATCACATACAGTATGTGACCCTGGACCACAAAACCAGTCATAAGTAGCACGGGTATATTTGTAGCAATAGCTAACAATACATTGTATGGGTCAAAATTATCGAATTTTCTTTTATGCCAAAAATCATTAGGATATTAAGTAAAGATCATGTTCCATGAAGATATTTAGTAAATTTCCTACCTTAAATATATCAAAACTTAATTTTTCATTTGTAATATGCATTGCTAAGAACTTCATTTGGACAACTTTAAAGGCGATTTTCTCCGTATTTAGATTTTTTTGCACCCTCAGATTCCAGAATTTCTGGAAAGCTTATTTATTCAGCTTTGACCCTTATGACTGGTTTTGTGGTCCAGGGTCCACATTACATTCAATATCAGTTTTATCAGTAATAATAATTTACACAGTTAATGTCTTAATAATAATAATAATTTTTTTAATAATTCATTTTCTTCTACTTCAGACATTAACAGTGTTTGCTTTCTATCAATTTCTTTCAGTGTAATTATATTATGTAATTAATGTGGACAAAAATTGCACACTGCATGTAGAAATGTAAAAATACATATTTGTATTACTATTAAATTATTGTTGTTTTTATTATGAAATGATTATTATTATTACACAAGTTATAATATAATATTATAAAAGTTTATATTTATTATTATAAATACAAAACTCTAATAAGATTTGCTAAATGCAAGGTATGATTTTTTTTCATACCTTTACACATGAAAAAAAGAATAGGCTTAAGGCCCCGATATACTTCAAACAAAGTTCGTTTTTATTCTTCGTTTGGGGGCGAAAAGAAGTTCGAAAAGGCTGAGCGACGGTATACTGTATTCGAACTGTGTGTGTCACGCCACTCGCACATATACCCTAAACGCAACAACGATGCAATGATGAAATGTATCTAGGTGTGAGACGGGTACCAATTGTCAGAATATTATAGACAAAACAATAATGATTAGCAGCAGTTCAGAGTCAAGTATCATGTGTTGCAATACAAAAGAACCATTCCATTTCCATAATCAGTCCTTTATGGGAAGTTTGAATGGCTCATAGTCTGAAAACTTTCTTTTTTTTTAGTCTGAAAACTTTAGCATGATGTGAAAAAAATATTGGAGCCATCTCAATAACACAAACATGTTACTTTATTTTATGATTGTTCATTTATTTTATTAAACTGGGTAAATTATTGCACCTTTTTATTTTCAATTTATATTGTCATGATTTAATTTTGATAAAAACAAAGGTTAATTATTGTATGTTCTTTTGGCATTTCATTCGCTTACAGAAAAAAATGACAGCAGCAGCAGTATGGTGTAAAAATATTTACTGAAACATGTATTTGCTACTCGCCACCTTATCTCCACTCTTTCCTTTCATTCTTTTCATGGCTTTGGAAAACTGCATTGGATGTTTCTCCACATCGCTTTGCATAACTCGTGCTTCGTTGCAATTTCTTTCTAGGAATTAAATGCTTTCTCTGAATCTTTAAAGTCTCTCCGCGTGCGATCGTACAGATGCGGATATATCTGTGGCAGCTCAGCTATTCCAGTGTATTCATATTGCTAGTAACTTGGTGTTGTTGCTGTTCTAGATGTTGTTCTCCTGTCTGACCTCCGTGGAATGAGAAACGAACCGGGAAAAAAAAATCTCACGTCAAAGAAGTTAGATTTCCAAAACACACCCACCGATTGCGTAATCGCCACGGACCAATGGAAGCTCAAAGGTGTTTAGGAGCCAAAACGAACTCCCCCAGAAAGTTCGCTTTGGTGAGCTGTTTCGAACTGCCGAAACGAACTCAAAACGAACTTCGTTTCGGCCTGATTTTGTTCGAAATGACGTCATATCAGTTTGTTCTTCGATTTCGTTTTAAGTATATTGGGGCCTTTAGTAGGTGTCAGTGTAATGTCCAAGACTGCTGTTGTATTCGCAAGTGAAAAAAAAAAGACAAATGCTGTTTGAAATGCATCTTTATTAGATTCAGCACTTCCTGCATGCAGGGTTTTGCCCTGGATGCACAAATTCCATTTGTATCTCATGGAGATTCAAACTAAATGTACTTATTGTGTTTCTGTGTGTGCATTCATACTAGCTCGTGTAGCTGCCATTTGTGGTGTTTTATTTCGAAATGTTCTGCCGCTGACTGTGTGTGTGAGTGAATTTTATGGGAAGGCAATCTTGTTACTCAGGGAGGGGAAGGAAAGGGGACCCGTTAGCTTTCAGTAAGAATGTTAAGTGTATGCTCTGCTCCCGGGCCACTTATTTCCAGAGTGGTGTAGGGTGTCCCTCAGTCTCTGAATGGATGTTGTGTATGTGCATGTGACATGTTGCTCAGAACGTGGCCCTCCTACATTTCCATAGCGATGCCCATGTTTCTGTGGACACGGTGTACCCAATTGGTATCTTGGGTGCGACTGGATCTTAAATCACCTCGTAAATATCTAATTTGTAGTTACTCTGGATGACTTTATCCAACCTATTCCAACACGTAGTGTTTCTACATTTGCCAGTAAGAAATTATTGTTACTGCTATTAATAAAACTTTAATGGCAGGCTAGTAGGTGTGAACAGAGGTCTACAGAACTAAATGATGACATTTTTACAAACTAAACTGGTCCAACAACCACAGGAACAGAGTATTCGTTGCTATACCAAGAAAAACAGACAACCAGTATCCATTACAGAGTTTTGGATAACATAGACTAGCTCATTAGTTTTAAATTTACTGTCAGGCGACGGTGTGTTAATTGGACGTGGACTTTCACTCTTCCATTGGGTGATGAGAGCATGAGCCGATGATCAACATACTGTGATATCATCAGCTCTCGTACTGAACTATGAGCCAAAGAGATGATTGGACATGTGCCATCATAAGCCTTTCTTATAATGAAGGCCTGCTTCAAATAAGAGGTCTTATGCCTGTCATGTTCATTGTGCTGTAGCACCAGAAAATGATTTAATGTAATAATATAAGATTCATTCGTATTAAACTTCTGTGGAATGCAAAAGGTGATGTGAGGCAGAATATTCAGGATGTTTATTTTCATACACTGTAAAGCCAGTAAATTTACTAATACTAAAACTATATATGTTGGATGATGCTTTATTTGAAAGCAATAAAATATTAGTTAATTTGATTTTTGGAATTGTAATTTTTTATTTAATTTAGTTTAAACTACATAAACTACATGTATTTAGATTTTATATTTATTTAATATCAAGAAAATATTTAATATTAACTCAAATTAATTAAGTTACAGTACTCAAAAATATACAGTGGTGGCCAACATTATTAGAACACTGGTATTTTCACCAGCTAAAAAATGGTTTTAAGTCAGTTATTTCTATCTTTTGCTGTAGTGTCAGTAGGAAATATCAGTTTACATTTCCAAACATTCATTTTGCCATTAATTGTAATAATCCAGTGAGAGTTTTGTTTGTTCAAGGAGTCTGACAACAGCCAGAGCTCCACACAGAGATCTGATCTCAGCATCATCCAATCCATCTGGGATTACATGAAGAAACTGAGACAGACTAAAACCAGGAGAAACCTACCTGCAAAGCTACCTGAAAAACTATG